ACGTTTTTACCCCACTTTTGATGCATTCGGCATTCGTTGAAAAACGTTAATTCGAGCAGACACAATTGAAAGATTGAGGCGCGTGACAACATTTAGATCTATCTCTCTCCGCTGACACGCTAGCGGGACAGACGAGATTTTTCTTGCGCGACAACAGAAGAACGCGTAAAGAACGGCGCACAATGTGCATCCGCCTGGCTCGCTCAACGAGGATACGTTTCGCTCGCACGATGACGTTGATTCAGGATTATTCTCCCTCTTTAATTATCCTGCCTTCCCTCCTTCGCCACCTCCGCTCGGCATCAATGCCGCCGTCTTCTCTCTTTCGCTCGCGGAAAGGGCAGAAAGTCCGGCGTGTTACGCGATAACGAATTATCTTCGAGAACACGCTTCTTGGGACAGGAACCGGAAATATCACCGGACGATAATAGCGGTATCTCGCAAGAACCATTGCATTCCTACTGCATTCTTCCTAATATTTTTTTTAATACTCCTACTTTAAACCGATTAGATTTTATCAATTATCTTTAAAAAAATGACACATACTTTCTAAGAATAATTAACTTCGAAGAAATTCTTTTCAAAGAACACGTTCTGAACACGTTCCAAGTAATCGAATCTCTCTTAAGCGTGCATCTATCAAGTTTATAAAAATAGCTTGCGGAATGTTTCGCTACGAATGTTGCAAACGTAACATGACAGCAAGGCGTTTAAAGATAGTGAATCAAGGACCGATCGGAGTCATCCTCACATGTCTAGCGACAACTCATAAGCCCGCACCACATACACAAACGTAATCATCCGTATGCCTGTGTATGTGTGACCGCATGAACGTAATATGCTCGCACGCCCTCCTTCGCATAGAATTCACCATCGCCTTCCGCTCATCACGCGCTCAAATACCTACGCAAAACGAACATGCTGGCCGTGAACGTAATCTTCGAGCTGCCATTAGTTCCATCAAAAGCATTTTATTAACATTGTGTGCCTGTTACACCGATCGCGTGCAGAATCCGACGTAATTCTTTATTTGTTTTTATTTTTTTTCTCCCGAATCTTGATTGGTTGAGGACACCGATCGGCAGAATGCTACAACACGATAAGCAAGAACGCGATAGAATGAAGAGCCTCCCCGTGCTTTAACTCTGGCTGCTCATTGCAACGCAAATGTAAGCGCGAGGTCACAATATTCTTGTCACAATTATTTTTTACGCGGAATACGTGTCATTCGATAATCGTGAGGCAGAATTACAGGCGAAGCCTGATATTTCGCGTCACGCGCAAGATTGCGCATCTTGCTGTCATTAATCATAATTATACGACAGTTTCATTTCAATCGAGTACGCGATGGCGGAATATTTTGCGTAAGCGAATAGACACGCTTCACCTCGAAAGAAGTATGCTCCGTTCCCTTGGCTGTATTTATCGGACGAATCGCGTGCGGAGACCAGGTTACCGATAATTACTACCTGATTCTTTGTATCCTTGCCACGCCACGATTGGCTGAGGTGAATAATCGACCGGGGCCCAACCGCGTTGCGGGGACCCAGTCACCGAAGATCCGGCCCCATTCGTCGCGACGCGCACAAAACGACGTGGAAACGTTCGTTCCGGAAGAACAAGTCGATGTACCATTGTCATTCTCTATACTCGACGACTATTTAATGTACGCACGCCTCTATCCCCGTCTCTCTTCCCGACAACGAAGCGATCACATTGATAGAAGCCTTCGTACACTTAGGTGTACTTATATGTCCACTTATGTGGGATATGACGTAAACGCCCCATCTATCTATTCATGGCAACATTTCTGCGTATTGTGCGCATCGAGGAGCAGCGAAAAGCTGCTTTTTCCTCTTTTATAACGCACATGAGGCTAATTGCGTCTCGAATCGTTACGAGAGATTAAATTCGTATCTCTCCCAATAAATCATTCGCGATCGGTTTTGATAAAATGTATTCCCAATGCCAATGTATACTCAGAGTTGCTTTGACGTAGGGCTCCGATGTTCGGCGATGCGTAAAATCAGGGGCGATTAGTCGGAATGCACACAATTAGCGCTACAGCAGTTTAGTACGGCATTACATATCACGCGACACGGCTAAGCGAATGGGATGTCTTTCGTTGCAGATCTTCTTATATAGTATCAATTTAGGAATTCGCATTAAGTATATTCGCATAATGAACATGTCGCAACCGATTTGCCGGATTAATTCGTAAACTGATTCATTTTATTAATCGCTAAAGTTTATGCAATGCATTACTCAACAATTAATGCTCATGTTTAATTAGTAACGTTAGATAATCCAATGCAATATAATTCGGATTATTATTATCGCGAAATTACGAATAACTTAGACAGGAATCAACCGCGATTATTGAATTTTCGACAATATATTACATATATCTGGCAAACAGATCCTTAATGAGAGTTTGAGAAATGTTACACTCATCGGGGTTAATTGGGGGTGAACCGACTCATCTTAGACAGATGTCGAAACCAACCGCGAAGTTCAAAGGGCCGTTATCCCTTCATTACGACGAACTTTATGCGACTAATTTCAAATTTCTCTAAACCGATATAGAACGCAGCCGCTCAACCGCGCATTTAGTCTAATTAAATGAGCGTAACGCACAGACCGTAATAATTTCATAATAATCTCGAAGTATCTTCATACGAAATGAATAGCAAGTGCCATTATCGAATAAATTATTTCGACACAAGTTCATGCATAACATTTTTCCACATATATATATAATTCACAAAATTGAAATCGATCATTTTTCAATATTACTTTCAGATCTCGGAGTTCCGTTAAAACCGCGATATATATAACATCGTGAAATCGCGCGTGTCCAAAAAACAAAGGGCGCTGATACCAGTGATGTCAGTGGTCCCGAATTCATCGAACCACGAAAAAAAAAGATATCTTCCGCCCGGAGACACCAATAAGAGCGCAGGCCTGTTCTCCATGGTTTCGTATCCGCGTAACTTCTCGCAGCCATCGGTGCGCGAAATGTCCCCGGCCTTTGATGTCGAACATTACAAGAACATGAAGGATTCCGCCGCGAATGGGAGAGAGGAATTCGAACGCCCTACCACCTCGGTGACCACTCGTAAATTGTCGCGCTTTCTATCTCACCCCCCTGCTTTCGACTCGCGCGCGCAAAAAAGAGATAACACTCCCCGGCGTCGTTCTCGCACTTCAGCAAGTTGATCTCGGCAAGAACATGCCGCTGGGGTGGCCGTCCCTCCCGCAACGTGGTGAGACTGGGAAACAATTAAGGGAAGACGAGGTGCAGTGTCGCCTTGTATGATAATGCGTTGTAACCTCCGGCGCACAGAAGGAACGGTACAGTAAAGGAAGAAGAAGAGGAGTGCATGAAACGCGGTTATGCAGGTAAACGACTAGGGAGGAGGACAAGGAGGGAGAGTGCGGCTAGAAGAGAATACGAAGTGGATTGTCGGAGGAAGGGGTTGGACGTCGTGGTTCTTACTTTGCATTCTTTTGTGTATCCTCCTGAGCCCTCCATCCGTCCTGCCGCTATCCAGTCTTCCCTCTTGAAGCTTGAACTAACGCCCGAGGTTTTAATGCACTTGTCTACTCCACATACCGTTCATAAAGACACATATGTCGTCTGTTGAACGAGTGGGCAGAAGAGTCATGGTCTTGGAAAGTGGAATGAGATAGGACTGCGCGTGCATAACTGAAGGAGAGTAGGCATGGCGAGATGGAAAATAGTGAAGGACAAGAAACGAGATGAAATGAAGGAAAGAGAATGCGGCAAGCGTAACGATATAAAATGCATTTTAAATTCTAAGCATCAACTGTGTTATGGAAAGATCTCAACTTTTTGCATGCATAATCCCCGGGAGAAAGATGAGAACCCCGCGAAGAGAGAGAGAGAGATTGAAAGAGGAAATGGGTTACGATTTTTGTATGAATACGAAGTATCTACTATTTAATTATTACAAACATTATCTATTACTCCGCGCTGTTATCATTGAATGTAATATACTATATCATCTTTCTTGCATTAAATATACTGATTATAAAAAAATGAGAAATATTCATAATTTTTAGTCATATACGGTTTTTATATATTACAGTGTGATGGATAAAATATGATTAATATAAGATATATATATATATATATATATATATATATATATATTGTTATATCGAAAACATTTAAAATTATTCGCAAAATATAGACCGCACCTCAAAAATAGATTCAAAACAATGAAATTATAGAACCGTAAAAAAACATCGTCGCCTGTAGCGATATAAATTCGAATACAAAAGATGTTTCACGTAGTTATAAAATAATGTAGAAGGAAAAAAGCAAACAGAATAAATTTATAAGTTACTATAAGAAAAACTCATCAAACTTTCACTATATTCACTAACGATTCTTCTTTAATGCGAATATCGATAACTTTCTATATCTGTTTTTTGTCACGAGTTACGTAACTCCAATCGCATATAAAACGATCATATTTATACACATTTTAAAAACTGTGCTTTTTTAAACCATTATATACACGCCAAATTAATCACAAAAAGTAAAATAAATAAAACTATACTTGTAATAATTTGAATAATTTGTAATGTTCTTATCAATAAATTATTGTATTATCCTGCATACATTCATCATTAATTAATGCACAATAAATTATAATTATCAAACAAGATTTTTATCCAATGCTGGACCACAACAAAATGTTATTAGAAACGTAACGTTTGTAATCAAATTACGATGTAGTATTCGAAATACAGAGCATCCATACATGTTTTTAATGGCTAACTATAGCCGCCAAAATCATGACTAACGTTAAACATCCTAGTAGCAACACTCGAGCTAATGTTATAGTCAATACTAATGACTTACATGTCCCATGGAAATGAATTAATTGCGACGAAATCGCGAAACTCGCGCGCTCGATCGATTTCAATGTGTGATTAATTTCTACCTATCAATTTTACATTAAACTCACCTCTTGCGTCCCGGTATCCGCGCACCAACCAGCCCTCTGCTACGGCGTCATTCGTTAATCTAGACAGAAGAAATGGAGTGTCAGAAACCTGGCCATAAGTATTCCCTAACGAATGGTGCCGAGTGGTTCTTTTTTTTCCTTTTTCTTCAACATCGATACAATAACGATTAAGCTACGAGCACGCGTATAATACCTCCGTGGCGGAAGCAGACGGGCAATTTTACGAGACTGTCTCCGGTATAATATTACGTGGGGTCGAAGGTGTACTCAAGTGCGTTGATTCAAGGCAGCGCACGTTGATTCAAGGAGGAACCGGGAGATGCTTTCAGAGGCGGAAAGAAAGCAGGCGCGAGATTCGCGCTTCATTCATTCACGAATCCGTGAGGGGACCGTAAAAGACCTCTCCTTCGAGATGTAATTAGCACATCTTTCCGCGACATGCGCGACAATGCGGCTTTTAATTAGTATGTTCACGTATTCCGACCGATTCCTCCCTGCAGCATACTCCTCGCACCCGCCCGCCTTTATTCTGCTGTAGACGACGACGATAACGACGACGGCGAACACACGTGGTCGATTTCACACGCGCGTGATCCGCGCGCGTGTGCACGCCGGGTCGCAGCAACGAAGCGTGCGCGTTTATGTCGACGCATCACACGCCGCTGCACCGCAGAAGTGTCAATACGCGGGTGCGTGTACGCGCGCGTGTAAGCGAGCTCGCGTGCACCGATTTGCGTTACGGCGGATACCTCAGGCACGTAAGGCGTTTCTGCAGTACAAAGAGCCGCGACAAGCGTCGACATGAACGATATAATTCGATGTCTCATCTTTCGCTCATAAATCGCTCACGATCGCTCACGATCGCGCAAATCGCCAATCGAGCACTCGCGTAAATATATTGAAAATGGCAATCCATGAAGATGAGGAACAATTGAAAATTGAAGGATAATTAGCGTCGCAATTTCTTCTGTAATTTCTTCTTCGATAATGAAAGTCCGATACTGATATACCGTGTGCTTAATTTAAGCGTTACAAATCTCAATCGACGTGACTGCCACGATTCAACAATGAAGTCTATGGAGTCTGACATATCAAGGAATAAATCGAAATGCTTGAATTCACTAATAATTTTCTTATAGACTTCCGACAATGTTGCGTGCATTGATTTTGATGGTAAAGACAGTTTTAACTATCGTCGACTTTTAAACTTTGTCGTCCATTACTGATAGCTCATCATGGTCGTTCTCGATGACATGCATAAGTCAGGGACACGTCGACGAAATGATAACTTTTCGTGCGATGTGTAAAAGTGGATTATGTCACTTTTTACGATAGTCGAACGTGTGAAAGTAATGATGCGCGAATAATGTTTTTTATTCAATTAGTTACAAATGATTGTAAGCGCACGATTTAAATTTTATCGAATCGATATCGGCGAAGACCATAAAATAAAAATGCACTAGTTTTCACGTCTCACAGCTTGCGTTGTTATCGTCAAACGCAATCGTGCAGATATGACATTAACGCGCGACATGTCGATCCGCAATTACCGTGCGAGCCTCCACTCGCATTCTCGAGACAATTGTAGAGGGTGACGAAGGACACCAATTGCTGCTGAGCTAGCGACAGAAAGCTGCACGATTTCCGGGATGTACGCTAATGTCTGATATTAGATTGAGTGTCGCAAGATAACTCGTATATAGTCACGCGTGATTATTCAGAATGGGGGAAAGAAAATTCGTGTTAGCTTTTATATCGAATAGATGTGATTCTCTGTAACAAGCTGAAATATTCGATGTAGGTTGCTTTTTACGTAACAATTATTTCACATGAATAAGACGAAGGATGTTATAACACGATTCGATCGAATAGTTTTAGACTTTTTTCTTTGCGATCAACTACAATGTAACAACTGAAGGAAATATATTAAAATCCGCGATACGTGAGGAAAGAAACTTTCAAATCATATGCGAGGATGGTAAACATTTTCAACAGTTTTATGTTTTATATAACTGTCATTAACACTTTGAGTATCATGTCTCTCAATTCTGGAAAATGACCTTATTTACTCAAATAGGAACGAGTATTTTAAACCTCGTAAGAAACACATTCAAAATACCTTTGGCACTCAAAGTGTTAAATAGGAAAGTTTTTGATACACACATAAACATACGATTTTATATATATATATATATCTTCGACATCTATAAACACGTTATAATTTCATTTACCTATACGAGGCATCGAAGAATTAAATATGCACTGAAACACGTTACATTCATTACGCGCCGTATCGAAATACTATTTTAATTACAGCATGTGGTGTACGTGTCGAACTCGGCGACGGTTTAAAACGCTCGACCGAAAAGTCGAGTTATATCCGATTTTGAAGCGCGCGATCTGTGTCAATGCCACGATTTACCGTTGCGAGCCTTTCGGGAATTGAACGAATATTGAAATTGCGGGAAACGCACAGAACTTTTGCATAATGAGCTGGCGGTTCACGCCGACACACGGACGTACACGCACACCAAGCTCGGCGCCGGCGCGTACATGAATATTTTCATTTGATTGCGTTAATTAAACTCGCGCTGCCAGGCGATGACCTTTGAAGTTCAGCGGCACGCGGCACGCATACACCAATTACCGATATTATTAATTGCAATGTGCTTCACGTTTTCGGCAATCATTGAATCTAGCGAATAGACATGCGTCTCAATCTTGAATATTTCTTTTTTCGAAGAGTATCTTATTAATAGTTGAAAACATTAATTTATATATATAATGTGTGTGTGTGTGTGTGTGTGTGTGTATGCATTAACAAATTTTATATACTATACAAAATATGAATTTTATTACACACACGCACATATATATATTATGATAATAGTTACAAGAAACAATTTATGTTATATTCTATTTTCAATGCTAATAATAAACGTATTTCTAATCAGTTTGTGCGTTTCGCGGTTTAATTGTATCAGTGCAATAGCACTCGGACATATATCTCACCGCAAGTGATTGCAAAACGTTCTCGATGATGCAGTATCTTCCGCATGCATTGTCCTTAAAATTGTTCGCGGTTTTGCGGTTAGACCCTAATCCGCAATGTTGCAAGAAATTAGAAAAATTTAACGGGGAATTCCTCAATGTTTCTCTGATAAGATCGACTGCGAAATGACGGAAATTATTATTAATGTACTTACAATCGGAGATATAGCCGCAGAAATGTGTTACTATCTTTCGTAATTTGGCTTTGTACACACACACACACACACACACACACACACACACACACACACACACATATACAAATATTTATAAATACTTTGTTAGCGTTGCTTGCACTGTTTGTATTCCAAATTTTCGCTTTCTTTCTTTTCTACACGGAGAAAAATATTTAATTGAATTAAGTAGAATTCTGAAAAATAAACGATCTAGAAAATTCTGATTAAATCTACTAGAATTTTAATAGATTTTACCAAGAAATTTCTGAATGTTAATTACCTCAACTAAAATTTTAATAGATTTAACCAGAAATCTGGTAGATTTAACAAGAATTTTGCATCGTTCATTTTCCACCAGAATTCCAGTTAATTCAACCAACCATTTTTCTCCGTGTAGAAAATGAATATATATATTCTGGAATATATATTTACCTCATTTTAAGTGCAACATTTTTTGGAAATTTCAAACAACGTGAACAAACCTACAAATAAAATGATTTGCATATTTAGGTAAGATCAATGCGAGACAAAATGTCGATTCCCGATTTAGATTATCACCAACATTTATAATATATTGTTTTTACAACTATGGAGAAATCGCGCGAGATCACGTTTCCAAAATTAAAAAGAGAAAAGCTTGCATATTACATTCTCGAAGACTCGCTGTAGAAATAAGACATAACATACGAACCAATCTTATATAACAATAATCGTGACGCACAGAAAAAAAAATTCTGTTTGTAATAATATTTAACTTTTCAAAACATTTCGGAATGAAATCGATTCGTATTATCAAAGCTGTAAAAAGAGAACTCTATTGTTAATTTCAATAATAATCGAAATATGCTAACTTTATAGCTAATAATATTACATTAGATTTAAAACTCTGGAAAAATTTGGTAGGCTGTCGTGGATCTTCATAAATATTTTATAAATTAAAAGGATAAAAGCAAATCGATAAAAAGCATCGATAAAAAACTTAAGAAACGAGAAAATAAAAAACCAATATATAATATGATTTAACAATCCTAATTTAATTATCTATTTATCTACTTTTAAATCGTTATTTATTAATAAAAGAAAAACTGTACAAGTAAAGATGACCGCAATGATCGAAATATTCCGGGACATTAATTGTTTTAATAAAAGAATTGCGCGCTCCACAACATCGGTATTTTGACTCGCATTGATATTGCCTGTATTCATATTGATTTTAAACCAACGAGCTGTAAATTTTATTATTTTATAAATAAAATATTTATTTTTTATATTAAGTCACATCTATCTAAACTCTCGGAACGGGAAAAAGACTTATAGTAAATTAATAAAATAATAAAAATGATTTTCGAAATAACTGAATACAATTTTTAGAAAAACATATATGCATATGTGAGTGTGTGCGTGTGTGTGTATGTGTGTGCGCGCGCGCATATATATATATATATATATATGCATGTGTTTAATGCGAAATTTCACATAATTTTGGACACTACATTCTTGGCCGGTATTAACGATTTTCACCGAGCTTTCGAGACCTCACACCAGCGTATCCCGTTTTGCTATGAGATCTACCAACCACCGCCGTTAGGGTGAAGTACTTACAGCACAATGAGTATGCAAATAGGCCGGCATTCGGCTACATTTGTTTCAACGAGCTTAGGAACGGCGTTCTCGCGAAGGAACAGTTCCTCCTTTGCAGGAACCATAAAAGTCTGCCCCGCGTTTCCAAATCTTTACAAAGCGTGAAGAGAGTTACTTTCCGTGCATTTTTATTGCTCGTTATTTTGCCCGTGTCGCTTATTCGACATTGTTTTCGTCGGCACGTTCATTTC